AACCAAGCCATAAACATCAGCCATATGTACAGTGTACCCTTCATGGTCATTGACCCTGAGGTTAAGCTTAGTAGGTCAGTAGTGTCTGACTCGTTTATTGCTGACTTAAGCATAACAAAAACTCAGCTGTTTATAGCAGTACAGTGTTTTTTAAGCATTCTAAGTGTGGTGCTGGAATTTTCAGTATACCATTAAAATGGCTTGTTTGAAAGCTAAGTTCCAGTCTTTAAAGACTAAGATTACACAGTTAGAAAATCTAATTTCAGTCTGTATAGGATTAACTCAAGATACAAACATAGATTTTGATGATCTTGAGGTCAAATTTGAATTACTTACACAATGTCTGGAAATAATTAATTCAGACTATACACATTATGAAAATAAATTTCTTGAATCAGATCCATCTGAGGATGAAATTAAAAATGTTTTGGATACTTTTAGTAATCAACAATTAAGGTGGACAGGAGTACAGGCTATCTACCACAAAACTCTGTCAAAGACACCTACTGTAACTAGTGGTCAAACACCTGTTACACCTGTAACAACAACAAGTGTCCCATTACCAAGCTTACCTACATTGTCATTACCTATTTTCCAAGGTCATAATTATGAAGAATTCATTAGTGGTTTTCAATCCATAGTAAATTCACGAACTGACATAGATGAGATTGCTAAGTTCAATTATCTTAAATGTCTTGTGAAGGGAGAACCCTATGAACTGATTAAGTCATTTCCGGTAGTTAAAGGTAATTATCAAATAGCCTTACATGTCTTAGCAGACAAATACTTTGATGCTGACAAGGCCAGAGTTAGACATGCAGTCTTAATATCAAGTTTGAAGCCACACAATCATTGTTTTTCAGACTTACAAGCATTTAGAATCACATTAGAGAATAGTCTCAGATCTTTAGGTGCTAAATATGACGTAAGGCAATGTGATTGGTTTATCAGTGGTATTGTACAAGATAAGTTGTCACCACAAACTATTGAATGATTAAATATTATGTTCAATAAATGCTATTTCACTTGTGAAGAAATTAGCAATGGTTTACAAACAATAGTTTCATGCATGCAAGCAATGAGACAAGATGAAAAATCCACAAATCCAGTGGATAATAAACCTTCAACTCAGTTTAAAAAGAGTATACCTACTCTCACTAAACCATAGAATGGGAAATCCCATATAGGCATTTATCAAGCTGTGAATACAACAGACAGTAAACAAACTGTCACACATAAACGTACTCCAAATTGTGTACTTTGTGATGGAACACATTGGGCACAGTATTGTAGTCAATACACATCAATGGAGGCACGTAAACAACGTGTTCATCAGCTGAAAAGGTGCATCAAGTGTTTAGGTGAACACAAGGGAGGAAAATGCTCACTGAAGAAGTGCAAGGGTATGCATCATACAGCATTATGCCCAAATACTTTTGCTTAACAGCAGCAGACTTCCACAGAATCAGGAAGTCAACAAGCAACAGCATTAAATGTGAGAGATAAGTTTAAAGCAACTGCTCTCCCGATAGCTCGAGTTGAGTTATCTAATAAATTACACAAAACCAATGTGCTAACACTATTTGAAGAACAGTGTTGCAGAAACTGAATAAACAACCCTATGCCAAAATACAGTTAGATATAGCTAGTTTTTTCCACAATTCTGGTGAACAGACATATGACCTAGCCAGAACCACTGTTGGTTTAGGAAACAGGAAAAAGACAGTAGAAACTGTGGTAGTAGATGATTTGCCTAAGTCTGTGCAGATCCAGGGATTAAAAGAAACAGTTGCAGCACTGAAAGCAGCTAAGGTCAAGTTAGCCTGTCCTGACTTACAGACGGACACAATTAGTCCAATTGATTTAATCATTGGAAGTGATTATTATCACTGTTTTGTGCAAAATATAGTAAGTAAACATGATGTTCACTTGCTGAAAACAGCAGGAGGCCACATGATATGTGGTCACATTCCCTCTCAAAGTGGGAAAGAAGCCGATATTGATTCAGTGGAAAATGTACTAGTTACGAGAATAACCACTGATCATGTACCACAGCAAAAATTATCATTACTGGAAGAAATGAATGAACCAGTTGATAAGTTGTGGGATTTAGATGCGATAGGTATTGATGTAAATAAACCAAGCCCACAAGAGTCTCAGACTTATAACCAATATTTGGACACTGTCAACTATAAAGACGGACAGTATTTGGTTAGGTTACCATGGAAATTAAATCCACCACATCTGCCTAGCAATTATCGCATGGCTTTCGGACAAATGAAAGCACAAGTACATGAGCTCAGGAAGAATCCAGAGCTACTGACTGTTTATGATAATATCATACAAGAACAGTTGGACAATAAATTCATTGAGGAAATAGTCGAAGATAAGTTGAAGACAGAAGCTCATTATCTCCCGCACCACTGAGTCAGAAAAGATTCTGAAACCACTCCACTACGTGTTGTATATAATTGCAGCGCACGTGCAAATAAAGATGTAGCAAGTCTTAATGACTGTCTGATGACCAGACCCTCACTAACTGAGAAGCTTGGAGACGTGCTTATGAAATTTCACACAAACCCATATGCCTACACGGCTGATATTTCCAAAGCTTTCTTAAGAGTAAGAC